CATTGTTCAGCGAAAGATTTTAAAGGTTTTATTTAGCAAAGGGCGAGTACACCTCCAAGAACGGGAGGCAGGCTGATCCAAGGGCAGAAGGCAGTGGGCTTTGTTTGTTCCCTTCTGTTGTACCTTCGCTTAGAGGTGGTCTCTTGATTGACAGCTCTTGCCCCTGGCGTGCTTGGTCATGCTTGTCCCCTTTTGCTCATGTCCTTACCCATCATGCACACAGAATAACCCACGGTGGGGGGCCTAAGCCACAATGCTAATTGTATTACAATGAGCATTGGGTCGTGTGCAGTTAGGTCCTTGTCGCTGCTGTGCAGTTGTGGCTGTCAGGTTCTAACTGGTTTCTTGCTGGCACTTGTTTAGAGGAAGTAAAGCCCCTTTAAGCTGAAAGTGGGCACACCACCATCTTCTGGACTCTGGACCACCCTCCCTCTCCTCCACCTATCTGCCCGGTGCCCCCGCTTATCTGAATACCTAACAGAGCCAAACTCTCACTTTTTTAAACCTTGCATGAAAATTGAGTTTTGCTGAAATATGGAAGAAGTTGTTTTGGTGTTATTTTTGATTTTCAGTGTGGTAGATAAGGAACTCAAGTTACACTGACGTAGCAAGGCACACCCTCTTAGGTGGGGTCTGAGGGTTAAGAGTTTCCGTCCTGAGCTTAGTCTGGAAGTTGTGGAGTCAACTGACTTAATGTGATCTGCATTGTGTACTCACATTATGTGTTTATTCTTTGCTTCGATTTTTCTAAGGATTAGCATGTAACAGTCAAACAGCATCATAAGGTACCAGTCACGTTACCCCATCATACAGCTTTTCTGGTGACAGAGAGCAGGTGAGGAAGTAATAGGGAAGTTTGATGGGGAAGGTAAGTCTTTTATACAACCAGAAGTACATTTTGTATCCTTAATTCACAGAAGCAGGCAGGCCATCCGGTAGCCAGGACTAACTGCCCCTCTGAGAGCCGGTGTGAGAACCTGGGACTCCTCCTGGGCAGCTTAGCGCTTGCTGCTGTTCAGTTATTCTAGGGCGCTCTGCAGTGATTTCTATGTCTATAATCTATAGATTATAGGATTCCTCCTCCACATCAATCTGCAAGAGCTGTGCTAACTCTAAGAAGTACTTTCACTCAAACAATTAAACATCTGATCCTGCCTGGAGCCTATTACATCTTACAGGAAGGATCATCAAGTAAAATCAGGTATTGCATGTGGCAAATCAAGTTCTCAGGGCTTGTAGTGAGTCCACCCTAGCTCAAAAATCCATAGAACAGCGGCGTAAATATCCATGTGTCACTTTTTCACACAACCTCTCATGAATAAGACATGAACTCTCTCAAGAATCCATAGTTTTTCTAATGAATTGGAGTCACCTACGTGTACTGTATTCGTGACATGCACATTTGCAGCTGGGGCCACAGGAGGGACACCATTTCCTGGATCAAACCACAGAGTACAAATATTGTGCCCTAAATAACACAGTAGTTACTGTAAATGTCAGTAAAGGGAGTTTCTCCAACTTTGATTTAATGAAAGCCGACGGCAAAGCCAGCTGTTAGCGCTTCTTAACTGCTTGTCAGGGAAGGGGAGGATGGGAAGGGCTGAAAACATCTCTTCTGTGTACACTTTGGTCTTAGAATGAAGCACGTTTTCAACAGGTGTTGAACCGCGACACTAGGGGGTCCTTTCCAGCTTGATGTCTTTTAAGTGGTGACTTTGTAAGTTCTCTTCCAGGACGTGGACCCAGAGGGACAGGAGGAGATTTGTGGAAAATTAAGTTTGAAATTTGCATCTTGAACCCTCTCTCCTGCAAAATCAGCATTTTAGTCTTCTGGGCTCCCTATGAGGGACAATAAGAATACAAGAGAGAGAAGGCACACACCCCCTCGTCACTGAGGGTATTACCAAAGTAATTGTGAGCCATGTGTGTTTTGATTGGTATCATCTGCTTTTTCTGAACAAAGAAACCGCATGAAGCAGAGGGAGGGGCGTACGCAGCACTCACTGCTGTAATTTTTGTCATTTCTAGAATGCGTTTGTAAACATGTTTGTTAAGGGGTCTTACTGCCTTGGAAGTCCCTTGGACATTAGGCTCAGTTTGGAGGGGACAATCTTTCAAACGCAGGGAAGTTTTACAGTCTTATTATCTTGAAGAGGAGAAGAAAGTTTCTTCCTCAAATGATTTATAACTTGAAACACGTTGTCATGTTTTGGTAAGCCCACTTTATTAATTCCATCCTTCTCTGTGGCAAATTTTTAAAAATAAGTGGACCATTGCAACACAGTACTTTCTCAATAGCATATTGTACTTATAATAGCATGATGGAAGCTGCCGGGCTGGGTTTAGTCATATAGAATGTGGAGCCAAGTTCCGAGTTAAACCTCTAATTGAATTACCTGCAAAACACTGACAGACAGGCTTTCAGGACAGACAGAGCTCTGCTTTCCCCAGCAGAAGTAGGTCATGTTTAAGTTGGCCTGGCAACTGTCTGTTAGCGGTTCACCTTGGGCTCTGGTGGGCAGCGGGCCCCTGTTCCTGCAGGAGGAGGAGCCGCTGTGTGAAAGCTGGAGGGTTCAAACATTATCTTCTTATTACAGAGAAAATTGGTAACAGATCCAGTTAAATGGAAGAGCCTTTGAAATAAAAATCCAGAGTATTTTTCTGTAGATTACCAGCATTCCTGAAGGATTCTTTCTTTCTTGTATCAAAAAGGGAGGTTAGGGGTAGGAAAGGAGCCCTTTCTTTAGCAGTCAGTGTCAATCTGAAAAGTATTTTTGTTCTGTCTTCTGGGAGGGATTAGAGTGCGTTCCTGTCGGGCATGGAAGAGTTTACTGTAGACGCTCTGCATTGGAAAATGAAGAGTAACCACTGTCCTTCTCTCCTCTCGTCCTTGCTCTTTGTCTCTTTCACAGCCTCTGCAATCCCAGACAATGGAAGACGGTCCTGTCTAAAGCTCAAAGTCTTTGTGAGACCAACAAGTAAGTTCCGGGGAGTGAGCTGCCCAGTGTGGCTTCACTGCGCATGCTTTATTGTGTGGTCTGGTTCACAGCGGTACAACTTTTTTTTACTGTAAATCCTGTGTGGTATCTGTTTGGTATATCAACATCCATGTTTTAGTTTTCATCCTGTTTTTTCTCATCATTTTTCATGATGCTTTTATTTTAAGTACACAGCAGTTGCTAACTTGTTGTTTCTTAGACTGTTGTACGTGCACAGCAAATGGGAACAATACTGGCATTTGGAAACATGCCACTGATTGTAAAACAGTCTCTACATCAGTAAAAGGAAAAATTAGAGAGAAAGAAAAAGAAAGAAATGGGAGTTGAAGGGTGTCTTCACTAACCTATTTGGCTGTTATCTCTATTTTTGTTATAGATAGCTGTATGAAAACTATAGGTGTTCATGATCGTGTTTTCGATGTTAACGACAAAGTAGAAAATTCATTAGAACCAGCAGGTTAGTATGCTTAGAGAATCTCTTTTAACAAATGCATCTCTCTCTCTGGTGTTTCAGTACCTTTTTTCCTTTCTTCCTCTCTGCATGTTTGCATGGTAGACTTGCTCTGCTTTTGCTCATCGCTAGCAATGCTAATATGACTTATATTCTACCTCATCCCTCCAGTATCTTTGTGTAATGCATGTCAGAAATGATGACTTTTCTTTTTTGGACATGGGTTTGATATAATGCATCGTCCTAGTCTAGAAGCCCCATCAGAATGCTAAAGTCTCACTACTTTTTGCCATATCCTCAGAGCATGCTGGTGAATCACTGAATGTTAATGAATCTGTTTTCATTGAAGACAGGAAAAAATTTCTACTGTGTGTGCTTATCAAATTTTACTTCTCTAGTACATCGAAATCTATCGATAGGTGTAATAGGGGAGGAGGAGGAGGAGGATTATTATTAATGATCACTTATGCCCAGAACAGATACATCCTCTCCCGATGCTGTATGCAGAGGATTTCTTGTCCACCCCCACCGCCCGCACCCCCTGCTGCTGCATGTGGTAGAACTGTTACACTCGGACTGCACACATACAATAGATTGCATGTAAACACATATACACAAAATCCTCTTTATTTTTGATGGAGTTTTTTACTTTTTAAATTAGCCTCATCATGCTCAGTTATTGGCTGGAGTTGCCTGAGAGGAATGTGCCCTTAGCTGAAAAAATGAAGCAGGTCCTAAATGGAACTAATGACTGGCCATTATTAGCCATCTGCATGTTTGCAGCTGAACAGCAAGTTCTTTCTTTCAGACTGATCCAAGTGACATACCTCCATGGTTGTCATACCTTCCACAAACCTTCATTAACCTAGACAACCTTATGGCTTTGTGCTTGGCTGATGGCAGTGCCCTGCCTCACAGGTGTAGAGGGTATCGTGACCAGAAGTGACCCCGGCAACCACCTACCAGTCATTTCCAACACACGTTCCTGGTTACCCTGGGTTCTTCCTAAGGGTGTCTGTGGGAATCAGAAAGGAAGCAGCAGCAGCTCTGGATCTTCCAGCCCTCGCACAGAGCACAGAGCACAGATGAGAGGTGTGGACAGTAAGCGAGCTCTCAGAGGCCTTAGTGACTCCCAGGGATCAGTCAGCTGCTTTAGAGAGCTACAAGGGCTGAGTGCTGACATGGAGACATTTTAATTGTGTCCTGAAAATCTAGAAGCATTACTGTGACTTTTCAAGGTACCAGACGCCTCACAAGCTTAAGGACCTTGGGCCATCGTGGGATCTGTGAGTTAGATGAGCTCTCTTTTAAGGACCACAGAGTCTACACTTTTCCTTTTATAACTGAGACTTGCCCAGGCCATGCAACTAGTTACACACAGATCCAGGTGTAATATTCACCTCTCTCAACTCCCACGCCACTGTTAGTACACAAGTAAGATTCTCTTATCATTACTAGACGTAGACGGCCATGAAGAGAAGTTTACCATTTTGGCTTTGTAAGTCAGAAAGACCAGTAGAGTTGGGCGTGTTGTTATAAACATAACTTACCCCGAATTAGATCTTTTTGATGCACAGATGCACAATGTAGGCAGAGCTTTCCAGTCATCTTTTTTCCCCCAGGTAAATTCCATTGCCTATCGAGAAAGCAAGAGGCTGTTTAGAAACATAACAGATTCCATGTTTTTCTCTGGTAATGAAGAGGCACAGTGAGGACTATTCTGACATTAGGAAAATTACCTTTGAATTCAACTAATGCTAAAACGCAAGGTACCAAGTTGCATTACTACATGAGCATATTTCACTCTCTCTTTTGGGAAACACTCTTTTTCATTGAGCACTTAAACCCATGATGCCCCTATAACTGACAGAATTTTGCAAAAGTTTGACAGAAGGTAGTCAGACAGTGGTGGTGGGGACTAGAAATGCAGGTGTACACACAGGAGAAGCTCCCTGAGTCAGTCATGACTTACATAAGACAAGGTTGAGCTATGATCCCCTGGCTGTATGAATGCAATGAGAAATTTGAGTACTTGCCTGTATTCTTTGGAAAATTCAGACTTGCAGCTCTGCACCACTGTGTTGGATGGCTGACTCTAGACCCAGACTAGATGAATCCAGCCAGGCTGAAAGGATTCTACTGCATGTTCTCAGCAATGTCTACTAATTCACCTGTCTTTGGAATGTATTTGTCTTTTTTGTTTGCTTGTACACTCTGCCTGCCAGTTTCCTATCATCAGGGACACAGGATGATCTCAGGGCCAACATATGCCCCATAATATGCTCCAAAGTATGGCTAGCGTTCTCTCTCTCAACCACTGAAACCCTCATGTTGTGGAAAACTGGAGCCAGGAGGCAAGACTTGATTTGGCATCTCAAGAGAACTATTTTCTTCTTCCAAGCCACCTTCACTGTTCCCAGTGTTGGAAATTCCCTGTGTTTAGGGTAATTTCCACTGGGATAGACTGTGCCTATGAATTCCTCCTTGTAAGTCTGGCATTGCTCAGATTTACCCAAAGAACAGCCAGTTTTCATTTTGCTTCTTGAGGGCCATAGAAGCTCAACACTGAGGCCCTGTTTCATAGAAGGATGCTCTGGAGAATCCTGAGCCAGGACCAGTACGTTATGGCACAAAGAGAGGACCGTGGTGCCCCAAAGTGACAGATTTTCTCCTTTGAAGGCAAGATGGTACTTACTGATAGGCTGCTTAGAAAAGGGCTAATTCCAAAGATGGCCATGATTTGAGGAGCAAAAGGCACATTTAGCCTCACTTTACTTACATGACAAACAAAAAGCTTTCCTCTCAAGGTTCTGCAACATTCATTCCCCCGTCTTGTGCGGCATGGGCCTAGAGCATGGACAGCCCTCGCTGAGCACCTGGATGGATGGGGAAGGCGGGCACCCTTCAAGCTCACACTGAGTATCTAAGT